TAATCCCCTTGGGGGCCTGTCCTGCCTTTAGAAAGCAGCTTTCCAGTTCATCCCAGAAGTGGTGCCCACTGAGGCGAGCATCTTGGGCCGGAGCTATGACAGGTGTGAGGCTAAAGTAACCTCTACTCTCACTCCGCAGCCTGGCCCTGCTGCTGCCCTCCTCCATTTCACAGGACCGCCGAATCCCTCTGTATCTCCGCCTGCCTTCCGAGCTCGCTCTCCCACCTAGGAGTTTTTCCAAAATCTTTAATATGAACCATGTGGGGGGAGGGGGAGAGATTAGTAGAGAAAAGAAAAGGGAGAGGGAGTAGCCAAGGGGACAGAAGGGAGACTAGGAAGAACCCCAAATGGGTCTTTAGGGACCACTACCAGGATGCTGAAACTACCAGACACTTTCTCACCTAAACACCAAGTGGTCTCCAAAACAGCCTCCCAAACCGGTAAGAAGCAATCAAGAGTCCCTAAAAGCAAATTGCCACCTGGGATGGATAAAGATGTGCAGTGGTCACTGCATCCTTTCCGTGCAGGGCCACTGAAGATGCAAGTCCCCGGCCAAACTGAGCCCTTGAAGGTAAAGGGTGGCTTTAAGCTCATTCCTCTTGCCCTATTCTTCCCTTTCTCTTTCTAAAGGAATGCTTCAAGCCAGATGTAAGATATGGGCCTCCCTGCTCCCCCATCCAGAACTCCCCTCCTTGCCTTCCCCAACACTGCAGAGATAAAAAAGATCTAAAAGAGAGATTTTTCTGAAACAGGAAAATGGGGTGGGGGTGGGATGGGGGTGGAGATGGTGAGAGATGCATCTTGAAATGATAGGAATCTGCGGCCCAAGCTTGCTGGCCCCTCAGCCAGCTACCCCTCACCCTTCCAGCCAGGATTCCAAGTCAAGAGGAGAAAACAAGGTGCAAGGCGAGAAGAGACCACACTTGGAGGTGGTGGTGGGGTCAGGGCGGGTTAGAAAACGGCAGAATAAGGAAACGGGGGCACTGCATGGGTAGAGAGGGGCAACAGCCCAGTCCTAGAGGCCAGTTTGATTAGGGGGAGTGAAGAGGAAAGATGAGATGACTCTCCACTCTCCCAGCTGCCCTGCGCCCCAGAAGGTGGGGAAGGAGAGAGAGCAGCTCTTCCTGAAAGAAAAAGATGAGTGCCATCCAGGGCTTGGGGGTGGGGGAGGGTGCCGGAGAAGAACAGCCAGCCTGTGGATTTTTAATGCCTTTGTCTACCCTCTTGTGAAGTGTCAGGAGTTTAAGGCCTGCAGTAAATCGAAGGAGAGGGTCTCAATATTTGGGGACTCCAGAAGCCTCTAGTTCTTGAAGGGGAGAGAGAGAGTCAACTGGGGAAGAAAAAGAAGACAGAATGGAGACATCAAAGTTTGAAGTGACGTCCTTAAAACAGGCTGAAGACAAATGCCTACATTATGAAAACCCGAGTGTTTTGTTTTAATTGTGGGAGTTGATGGGGGCGTTTTTGCTACGGTTCCATGTCTAAACCTTGCTCTGGGTGCTGCATCCTCATGAGAGCCCTACTGCGTTACCGAATGCCTAGACCAGAGAGCAGAGACTCGTCCGCCCTCGCCAGCCGCCCCTTTCTCCACTTCCCAGGGCGGCAGCCTTAGGCGATCAGAGGTTTCTGCTGGACAACCAAGACCCCAGATGGGCGACTGCTTTCTTGAATCCACGCGGAGATAAACTCGGAAGGCAGCTTTTACCCTAAAAGGACTGAGCTGCAATACAGGGGGCATAGCATATGGGGGCCTGGAAAGCCTTTGACCACAGGGCGTCCTCATTCCAAACACCCAGCACCCCCACCTCATCGCGGCGGGAAGGCGCGGCGCTCTCCTATCTCCCCCACCTCTGTCCCCGCCACCCCGTAGTAGCTCCAGTGACAGCCCAGCCCGGCACCTTTCTAACTCCGTCGAAGCGACAACCTGGTCTCCTGAGCAGCCGGTGCCAGGAGCTGTGTTTTCCCTCCGGCGTTTGTGACCCAGCGCCTCACCCTCCAAACCCTGCGAGCCACACTCACCACCAGGACGAGTCTACGCGGGCCGGCAGCGTCAGCAGCAGCAGCAGGAGGAGCGGCAGGCAGGCAAGACTTAGGCGGGCCGAAGCCCGAGAGCCGTCGGCAGCCGCGGGTCCGGGCGCCGGGACGGGGGCGCGGGGGCGCCGAGGGGAGAGCTGCGCGGCTTCCTCCGCACCACCCGGCCTCAGCATAGCTCTCCAGAGACGCCCGCCGCGCGGCCCGGAGGGGCGTGGACGCGGCACCGGCTGGGGGTACTCAGGCTGTTCCTACTCACCCCCCTGGGGGGCCATAGGCTTGCCGACGGCTGGGGATCTAGGAACACCTGGACTCCGGGGACCGGGGTGCAGCGACCCGGACAGGGGCGCAGGGAGCGGCGTCCGGAAGCCGCCGCCGCCGCCGCACTGAGCTCAGGGACTGGGGCGCGCTGCCTGAGCGCGGGGTGCGGTGTCAGGGGGTCGGCGTCAGGGGGTCGGCGACGCGGAGTGGGGCTGCGGGCAGAGTGCGCGGACAGCCCCTCCGGCCGCTGGCTCTCATTGGAC